TATATTTAACAAGCATCATTTGTGTATATATTTATTATATACGTTTATCTTAAATAACATGGAAAATGTGAAAGTAACTTCACATGCACAAAAGTCATTAATAAGCAAACCTGCACAAATTTCAAATCGAAAAAATTATTCTATCGAGTTTTATAGAGCCAAAAACTGACAAAAAGTTATGGTTCCTATAATTCGAATCAGTTTAATATATTTCAAAATTAAAAGTTGAATTTTTAGCAGATAATTATTTCTAAAAGAATTGAATAATTCAAACAAGTTTCATTCGTTGAAACATCTCGAATGGAGAACAATTTCTTAACAAATAACAAAAATTACTTGTCAGTATTTAAATTATTTTATTAATTTCTAATGTAACACTGCATAAATATGTACAAAAATTGAGGAACGACAAATATCAGATCCGATAAATTGCTATAATGGAGGAAGAAAACATTATGTAAAATTTATGCCATCTAAAAGTAGCTAATTTACAATTAGCAGTCAAGTTGTTCGGGAATTATAACCCTACATAAATTAATCAGAAATGAATTAAATTCTCTTGTCAATTTGATCTAAAGGTATCAAATTTATACAAACTAGTTTTTAAATTTCAATACTTGACTCAGCTTTAATTTTCTAATACTTAGTTAATTTTAAATTACACGTTATCCATGTTCTGACGGATCAAAAGTGACGACACACTGAACCTATCGAACGAGATTCTTTCAGGACTTTAAAATTTCTTTTTAATTTTCTTATCTTCACTTTGTTAGATATAGCAGTTATTTATAGATTTATAGTTTGAATTAATTCTGATTACTTTGTAGTAATCAAATAAGAACAAAGGACTAGAGCTGCTTAAGGAAGGATATCTTTTCTTGCTTAGACAAATACATGAGATTAAATTTTGTAATATATTTAGACCTTACACAAAAATAATAATCAAATTATAATACTCACGTCGTCCTACGGGATGCATTTTTACTGTTGACGATGAAAAATACCAGATAACCACTAATAAATAAGTAAAAAATTTAACACAAAACCCACTGACCACACGACACCCTGCAAACGAGACTATCTTCTGCAATGGCTGCTACCAGCTTTGTTCCAATTGGTCTTAAGACAACCAATCAGCGCACGAATAATAGAACTATAGCTAGTGATATTTGGCGCTATGATGTTATTAAAAATTATAAAAATTTGAAAATTTTTAAAAGATATTCATTAAATTATATAATAAAAAATATACCAATAGTAATTATTTTATACGTTATGTACAATAATTGTTCATTATGAAACAATATTACTTAAAGTTAAGTTTTCACAATATATAAAAATTTCAGAAAATACAAAACGCTGAAACGAATGTGGAATATTTCTTTCTGTATGTTTAATTGTATTAAAGTTAAAATTCTTATATAATTATTAAATAATATAATGGTAAAGAATTTTCTCATTGGGGTGGCACTGCGATCGCAATTTTTCCTAGAATTATAACTGTGGCGATATATACGACACGCGATTGCGTGTTAGATTTCCGAAATGTCGATTCCTCTTAGTGGAAGTCGATCACGTTCTGGAGGAATCATTAGTGCAATTGCAAAACATTTAAGGAGTTTAACTTTAAAACCGGTAAAATCTATCAACGTAAAGTTTGATCCCTTCGATTATAATGCTTTGCAAACGAGGTTAGTTTTTTGAAACTTTGATTTATATGATCAATTTCTTAGATTTTAATTTTAATAAATTTAATTAAACATAGTTAACCAATTTTGGTTTCAATTTTTTTAATGTATATTGTATAATATACAATTTACTGTTGGTTAAAGATTTATACTTAGATATAAATTTTCTGTGGAGAAAAATTGACTTGAATGGTATTTGAATGATTTTAGAAAAACCAATTCATTGGTACTATATCGTAGTATAAAAATCATAAATGTTATTTTGAAAAATGAAATTGTGATTATAATGTTGTGTATATTTTTAAAGTAACAATTAGTGTTCCAAGAGGTTACCATCCAATGACGTCAATACTACGCGCATGTGCATTACGAAGTTTTCAGTAGCTAGCAGACGAAGTGCATATTCGTATTTTTAGAAGCTTTTCAATCGTTTAAACCAGCATTGTTCATGGGTGGAGCCCTTTACGCGCGGCTTTATCTCGTTCTATGTGTTATATTGTGTCTGTTGCAATGTACACACATAATGTGACATGTATTAACATTCCTGTACATGCTAAGAGAGAATAAGGAAAGTTACGAAGCAACTCACGAACCGTGTGATATTGGTTTATAATATTATAGTAACAGTAAAAATTAATATTCAGAATAAGTAAATCATTTAGTTCATCCATAATTTGTGACATTCGTGTAATACAATTTTTTTATAATAAACAACTGAAAAGGTATAGTTCATTTTTTATACGTATTAGTAGATTTTAATTTTGTTTTATTTACTATATCTTATTTTATGAATTATAATTGTTGTATATTGTATATTTTTTAAGATTATTTATAATTTAGCATGAATTATAAAGTGTTTGTAGTTATGTTAATAAGCAATTAAAAGTGTTGTGACTTAATATTTTTATATGGTATGTGACAAAAAAAATATTTTTACTCATTATTTAAATTAAAATATTTCGAAAGATCATAGAGATGTCCAAACTATTTTCATCTTAATGTAATATTTCTGTACAGTTAAAGTATAGAACATTTTCATATAGGTCATTGGTATAGATATTACAACTCGATGAAAAAACAATATATGTTTTTGGAAACTCAATAATCTTAACAGACAATGTGTCTATAATTATAATGAACAAATATGATTGTCACTGAGTGAAGTTATTGTTTTTCCACAAGGTGTATGACTGAATTAAAACTCAATATGTCTTTGTTTTAAACTATGTACTAGTTGAAATTAATTACTGAATTATTTAAAATATTTAAATGTGACATAATCTTTTGAATTATATTGTAATTATGCGTACATTAGCTTAGTTAATTTTTATAAGCATTTGGAATTTCTTACATTTGATAACAAATAATAAATTCGTAAAATTAAAAAATGCTGTAAGCATTAATGT